TCACATGCAGCTGCATTTTGAAAAGCTACCACCATCACAATCCTGCCTCACACACAGACAAGCTCTGCTGCAGATCTGGATGCCTGGGCCATACCATCCCAGTCTGCAAAAGGGGCCCCGACTATCACTTGAGAAAAGAAGAATTCAGTCAATAAAAAGACAAGAGAACATCTGAGGTAACCATCACCAAGCTCTCAGACAAATCTCTCAAACAGTGGGAGGCCTGACGCACCAAGGCTGCTCCTCAGGCTGCAGCAACCGAAGGTAGCCTGGAGAAAGAGAGGGGAAGATTTACATGCTGTACCTTCCCCACTTCAGCAGCTGACTTGAACCCACAAAGGTCTCCCCCTCCACTACCTCTTCTATCACTGCAACCAAGAAGGCACAAGAAAGAAACTCATCAGCCTCAGAGCTGACTCAACGAAGGCAGCAGAGGAGGACCTGGCCAGTTAACGGTTCTTTTGACTCTTATGCCCTCAGTCATTCTCTGGTTCTCTACACCCTACTTTTTAATGCAAAAAGAAAAAAGAAAGAAAGAAAATGAAGGTATGTGATGAAGTACTGACATGGGGGAGCCCAAGTTCCACTTTCTGCTGGCCCCAAGGTCATGGTCCCCTTTGCATTTGTCCTTTGTTTGCCATTGTCTCATTAGACCAGTGTTGGGCAATTAATTTTCCTCAAGGGTCACATGGGACTATTGTGGAAACTTGAAATAAGAGGGCTGCACGCACGCACACATGCAAATGGAAAAAAAGAATAGCAGTCACCTCAAAATAAAAGCAAGGCAACTGTATTGTGTGCATGGAATACACTTATTTCCATTTGATTTTGAATTTCTGGCTGACCTCATGCAGGCCAAATAGGGACAGTTAAAAGGCCAGATGTGTCCGGGGGGAGGGGAGACATCAAATGCCCAGGTCTGCATTAGACCCTAAAATCTCCATTGGGAGAAAAAAAAAATCTAAAGCACAAGTGACTCCCCATCTCATCTTTCTGCTTTTTTGGATCACAGCAATTGACACTGAACCTATAAACTCTGCTCATATGGCACCTGATAAGCTCAAATTTGGATTTCTAGTTTACATCAGAGATCAGCCATAGCCAGCTCACATCTTATCAAGAAGTGAGCCATTCATGACAAGAGATGACATGCACGAACCCTACCCTGCCAATCCACCCTATCCCAAATCAGATCAAGAAGTACACCTGCAAAATGCAGTTCTATTGTGAGATATGTTGCACTTACAAACACATTTCTGTGTTAGAAGCAATCTAAATTTTTGAGGTCTTTACCTTGAGTTCCCTGTTCTGTCTCTAACACACTTCTTCTGCTACAACCTGGCTATATTTCAGTCAAGACTCAATTATGACTCTGCTGGTTGAAGTACTGGCTTAAACAAATGAGGGGAGGGGGCAGGCAAATCTTGAGCATAATTAGTTTTGAAAGACAGGCATCAGTCTTGTTGAAATAATAGATGATCCCTGTCTGCATCCATGCTAAGCTTCAATGAAGCCCAGAAAAAGTTCAAGCATGGAATTTAGATTTTGATTTACCAAGAGAGAATCAACACTTGCCATCACTACTGCAGTAAGCTCACACACAATTCTTTTTAAATTCCCCCAATATTGTTATCATTTATCAGTCCCATCTCACAGGAGGGTCTTGATATTAGGTCATTTGAATGGGATTGCTGGGCGAATAAAATGGCATTCCTTTCCAAGAGCATTCACGTTATCTGCTCAGACTTTAAAACTGGTATGGTAGTTTACATACTTTTGGAACGCTCTATATCAGTTTTGGAGGGCAGTGTTAATCTCCCCTCTGTTTACAAACTGTTCAGACCACTCTCATAGGATAGTTTATTTATTTATTTATTTATTTTATTAAATTTATATCCCGCCCTTCTCCCCGAAGGGACTCAGGGTGGTGAACAGCCGAGTAGTAGTTGCACACTACTTATATTAAATGACAAGGATTGAGAAGTTTCTAGAAATGGAGCCAAATTTACTACTAAATTTGAACCTATAGGCAAGTAGAAGTTTTTGAACCTGATTGCTTCCTTGGGTATACCTACTTCAGGCATGAATAGGTTTTTTATTGGATAGGTATGCATTGTGCTGTTTTAATTTCTATGTTTGGTCTGTGATGATATTTTTAAAGGCCTAAACCAGTGATGGCTAATCTTTTTAGCACCAAGTGCTGAAACTAGAGTGCACTGGAGGGTCAGAACCTGGAAGAGAGCAGCTGACTGGCGCGCATGCGTGTGATGGAACCCGGAAGAGCAGCTGGCAATGGCGCACATGCCCACAGAGAAGGCTCTGCGTGCCACCTCTGGCATGTGTACCATAGGTTCCCCATCACGGGCCTAAACTACGCCCTGCAAAGAGTCTGGGATCGATGATGTTCTGAGAAAGCCCCAGGGTTGCCATGGTAACCCTGGAATCCTGAACCAGACAACATTAGCATAGATACCAATATAATTGTTCTGAGATTCTCTAAGAATAGAGACTCTATTTCTAGTCCACCAATCTAGTCCACCAACAAGTCCCCTATTCCACTTTGTAGGGTTGGATGTCTGGTGAGACAAAGCTATAGGATTTCTATAGATGGCTGCAACCCTTCCTTGCTCCTCCACATATACAAACACCAGATAGCAGCACAGGAGTCAGTAGACAGTTTATCTCATAAACTTAGTCCAGGTGGAAAGAAGTTCAGGAAGAAGCATTTCAGAATGCTTAATTAACTCACTATAAATAAGGCTAGGAAATTCCTATGATTGTTTCCAAGACTTTGTATTTACCCATATCTTACTGAAATCTTACACTTCCCATTTCCTTGGTCTTGCCCAGTTTGGGAGGGGGGGAGGGAGAAAGTATATAATGTATCAGTACTATCTTATTCCAGCATTTTCTAAAAGAATCACAAAGTGAGAGGGGAAGTCAGCATGGAAACCCCAGGATTTGTTGATGGTGTGGGCAGAGTGAGAAGTTTGAAACATCCAGATCAGAGTGGGTTTCAGCAGGTTCTAACTAGTTCTGGAGAACCGGTAGCGGAAATGTTGAGTAGTTTGGAGAACCGGTTTATTACCACCTCTGACTGACCCTGCCCCCATCTATTCTCTGCCTCCCAGCTGATTGGGAAGAAATGGGGATTTTGCAGTAATCTTCCCCTGGAGTAGGGTGGGAATGGAGATTTTACAGTATCCTTCCCCTGCCACGCCCACCAAGCCAAGCCACGCCACCAAACCATGCCATGCCCACCAAGCCACACCCACAGAACTGGTAGTAAACATTGTTGAATCCCACCACTGATCCAGATCCTGGAGCTCTTAGATAATGTATTTATTCCCTTTCAGCATCTTTCTCTTACTTTCCCGTTAGGAAAAAGTAATAGCAATAGCAATAGAACTTAAGACTTATATACCGCTTTACAGTGCTTTACAGCCCTCTGTAAGCAGTTTACAGAGTCAGCATATTGCCCCCAACAATTTGGGTCCTCATTTTACCCACCTCGGAAGGATGGAAGGCTGAGTCAACCTTGAGCCTGGTGAGATTTGAACTGCCAAATTGCAGGCAGTCGGCAGGCAGCAGAAGTAGCCTGCAGTAGTGCACTCTAACCACTGTGCCACCGTCGCTCATAATCACATAGGCATGCTAGAATATCCACACAATAGGTGACTATGCCAACCCAGTTTCTTTCTTCTAGAATACTGCAAGTTCTCTCATGCTGATGGCACACCACTGTTGTCATCTCAAAAGGAGGGTAAAATTATATGCTATTGTTTTGCAAAGCTGCCCATTATTCATTCTAATGGATAAAACAGCTGATCAAGGAAGGCTTAAGTCACTAACAACTGTCAATGGGTATGCAACTCTACAGTTTTCCTTAAAGCCACACAAATATTTACCAACTGGGTGCATGGATTTCACTTAAAGAAAAAAGGGTGCATTACATAGCTTGTATACTGAATTAAGATCCACTAAATAGGCTGCAGTTACTTCTGAGAAAGCTATATAGGATTTGGGGATATAACTGCAATTTTATGCATACTTACTTAGAAGAAAACCCATAAATAAAGCACTATGATTTGCCTCTATCAGACTGAAAGTATCGAACTAGCTGGCAACAAGTTCCTTTTTTGTGTTTGGACTCTAGTAAAAGTCATTTAGAAGATGCACTCTTCTTGGTGAAAAATAAATGTGGCTGACTTGAAAACTACAATTCTATTTTTAAACTATTTACATTTCCAAAAAAGAAGCCAGTTGTATGTATTAATATTATATATAGGCAGACTGCTCAGCTTTCCTGACCTATCACAAATCAGTCCTAAAATGCAGGTATAGCTCATAATCCCTATTTTATAAAATATGTGTGTGTGTGTGAGAGAGAGGGAGGGAGGGAGGGAGAGTGCATGTGGTGGAGGAAATTTAAACATTTCCTTGACAGCAGAACATTCCTTTGCAAAGTCATGTAATGGAATTTCAAGATAATCCAATTCATACTTAACAGACCATGTAGATTAGTACAACATAAGACATAAATTATATAACAGAGCTGGCTTGGATTTCCAAAGTCCATAGGACCATCTTAACCATTAACAAAAAAAAAATAAAAAATAAAAAATAAAAAATACAAGGATGATAAATGATGCTCCCAGCAAAATGATAGAATGCCAAAGCTAGTGCCTTTCAGAGGAGCTAGACTGCAATTTCCCATTACCCACAACCAGCATGACTCTGAAATGGCAACTGTAATCCAAAGCACATGGAGACAATCAGGTTATAGATTTAATGGTGTATCTTCTATTGTGGTTTATTTTTCTTTGGATCACCTATTATCTCATTAGGAAAGAAAACATCAGTTCGTTTCTCATTCTTCATTTACATTTATGGTGGAAAGAATGATTAAATTCAAATTATAAGCATGGATTGTGTACATACAAATATTAAGGCTAAGAGAGAAGGAGACAACTTTGTGAAGAAAATAGCGGGTTCCTCACCTCTATGGTAGGATCATATTCATCAACAAAATGATTCTGAATCAGCTGAATAGTCAATGCACTTTTCCCAACGCCTCCTGCTCCAACCACCACCAGTTTATACTCTGTCATCTTCTGGACTACCCCAGCTCAGGGTCTGCTCACGACACAAGTGCCTGGAATAAAAAATAAAATAAAAGAATATGAAGATCATAAAGATCGGGCAAAGTGTTTCTCTCCGTATCCCAAGTGATTGTCATTCATGCTACCTTACAAAAAAAGCACCCAGAAATAACTACAGGAAAGGCACTGGAAGTCAGAGCTGTAGCTGCAGATAAGTACATCCTTAGATTCTTTTCATTATATAGACAGGGTAACCACATTATCCAAAAGCTCTAAGAGGGAACAGAGCCCTCTGAAAAGCATTGTGTAAAATAATACAAGGCAGGCAAAAGGTGCACGATGTGGGGAAAGGAGCTATTCATTATTCAGGGCCAGTTAATCAGTATTTAAAATCTATTGCTGGCCTGGTACAGTAAACAGAGTGCCAGGATGAGCTATGAAGTCGTCGTCCTCGTGCACCTATGCCTTACTTAAATTTACGTGGCTGATGCAACTAAGATAAAGGATAAAAATACTTGTAAATACGAAACTGCTGCAAGTGAAATACAAATGCCTGCTCCTCTTTTCATGCTGGAGTTTATCTCCCATTTCTCTCTGCTCATAAATAATATTTTCCAATTCTGGAAACAAACAATTGGATGAATTTCCTAGACATTTTAAATGTAAAAAAAAAAGACTTTTAAAAAGTAAATTTGTGGACTATTAACAAATTGTTCTAAACACTTTTTTCTCCTTTCATATATGTGAATGTGAGAAGCAATCACAGATACAGCTAGCAGCAATTTCCACAATCAAAGGAACTCCAAAAGCATTGCTATAATGACAGAAATTTTATGATGCATCCCGATGGCACCAAAATTGTGCTCTCCCTCTCCTCTCGTCTCCCACCCACCCACCATACATATATTTATTTTGTGCTGTATGCTATATGAAGAGACCTGGCATAAAGGTAAAGCTAGAAAAGAATAGTACAGGTAGTCCTTGAGTTACGACCACAATTGAACCCCAAAATTATGTTGCTAAGTGAAACATTTGTTAAGTGAGTTTTGCCCCATTTTAAGACTTTTCTTGCCACAGTTGTTAAGTGAATCACTGCAGTTGATAAGTTAGTAACATGGTTGTTAGGTGAATCTGGCTTCCCCATTGACTTTGCTTGTCAGAAGGTCACAAAAGCAGATGACATGACCCCAGGACACAGCACCGTCGTAAGTATGAACCAGTTGCCAAGCGTCTGAATTTTGATCCTGTGACCGTGGGGATGCTGCAACACTTAGAAGTGTGAAAAATGGTCAGAAGTAACTTTTTTCAGTGCCATTGTAACTTTGAACAGTCACTAAATAAACTGTTGTAAGTCAAGGACTATCTGTAGTTTGCAATTTAAAGCATAATAAAGAATAGCTAAAGAAACTATATCCAGGGGTATTAATGTCAAACACTCTTAGGAAATCCTGAAAATATCATCAGCCAGGTGTTTTCTGTTTTCCCTTTTTACTTTCTTGATATACACTACACCCAGTAGGACTTCAGAATATTATTTTATACCTGAATAAGCATTTAAGACAATGGTGAAATCCAATTTTTTTAAATACTGGTTCTATGGGCGTGGCTTGGTGGGCATGATGTGGCTTGGTCTGCGTGGCAGGGGAAGGATACCGCAAAATCTCCATTCCCACCCCACTCTGGGGCCAGCCAGAGGTGGTATTTGCCAGTTCTCCGAACTGCTCAAAATTTCCGCTACCGGTTCTCCAGAACCTGTCAGAACCAGCTGGATTTCACCCCTGATTTAAGAACTGTTACATGTGTCTATGGAGAGCTTACAATTTGCTCAAATTACAGATTTGCAGAACCAGTGTGTGTGCTTCTTAAAATAGCCTTGCTCCCACACAGCCATATTTTTCACCTGAATTGCAGTTGTAGGTGTAAAGATGGGCTGTCCATTTATGCTTCAACCTGTCCTCCCCAATACCCGCTCCGAGAATTGAAGAACTTCAAGAATAGAAGACTGACTCTAAAAGCGGCCTGGGTATAAATCATATTGTCTAAGGCTTTGTTTAAAAATAAGACTTTTATTGCTCTCTTTATCTGTTCCTTTCACCTTTTTCTTTGTTGTCATAATTCCCAGTTTCCAAATCATAGTTAGAATGGGAATGTTACATTTCCCAATTGACATTTTCATGACTAAGAAAATCCTGCCAGAACAAGTTAGATGTAATCTGCCCAGAGAAGTCTTTGAATTAGGAGGATTAGCAATTTTAATAATAGTAGTAGTAATGACAACAATACATTTTCCTCAAAACCGAATATACGAGTGTTTTAGATGACATACATGAATCTTGGGAAAAAAATCTATGAATTTTACATGATGATGATGATATCCATTCAGTCATGTCCGACTCTTGGTGATTCTATGGGCCAGGTCTCACCACATCTTCTGATCTGCACTACTTCTTTGAGTGTTTCTATGCTCTGGTTGGTGTCAGCTATGATGGTGTCCAGCCACCATGTTCTTTGATGGTCTGGTTTCCTTTTATCGCTAACTCTTCCAAATATAATTGCTTTCTCCAGGGAATTCCCCCACATGACATGGCCAAAGTAAGTGAGACAATTTAATAATAACACTTGATAATACTCAATTATCAATTCAGTATTGAGTATTGAGTATTGAGTATCAATTAACTCAACGCGCGGGTAGTTACGGGAGCGTCTAGATACTCCCGTGTAACACCTCTCCTGCGTGAGCTGCACTGGCTACCAGTGGCACTCCGGATACGTTTCAAGGTGCTGGTGCTCACCTATAAAGCCCTTCATGGCTTAGGCCCGGGGTACTTGCAGGACCATCTCCAGTCGTTCTCCCATCGTCCTGTGCGCTCTCACAGAGTCGGCCTCCTCAGGGTGCCGTCGGCCAAACAATGTCGGCTGACGACCCCCAGGGGGAGGGCGTTCTTTGTGGGAGCCCCGACCCTCTGGAATGGATTGCCCACTGAGCTCAGGACAGCCCCCGACCTTCTTTCCTTCCGTCGCGAGCTGAAGATGTGGCTCTTCCGCCAATTAAACTGATCCGTTTGGGGGTACACTGGTATAATTTTAAATCGTTTTTTAATTGGGTTACTGATTTTAATTTGGTATTGTATTGTGATTTGTATTGATGTTGTCATTTTGTAAGCCGCCTTGAGTCCCTAGGGAGAAAGGCGGCATATAAATCGCAATAAATAAATAAATAAATAAATAAATAAATTATTAATCAATACTTTGCTTTTTGTTTAATAAATATATTTATTAGCTTTTTAATTTATTAATACTTAGCTATACTCTTCCATTTTGAGTAAGTACCGGTCAACATCAGAGACAACTAGCACAGTGTTTTATTTATATAGGGCTCATTCTTCTACACTACTATAGTTACCTGCATTTTGTGACTACAAAACAAAAAAAAATGGAGACAGAGCCAAAATACTGCCTGTATCCACAGCAATGTTTTCATGAAAAGGTCCCATTTGAACAGAGTATAGGAAACTAGTTTGCTTTTCTAGGAGACCAAGATTCTCTTAGATAATAAAGGAAATAAATTAAAGAGAGGGACATAGTTCATTCTGAAAAGAGGGCCACTGTTTCCCAATTACTCCCATTACATCCATAGCTTATTGCAGAAGGAACAGAAATGAGTAAGAAAAAAAACTTTCCAAAGTTGCTTATTTAGCAAATTAAGTTTGTTAAAATGATTGCTTATGTGCCTCTGCCACGCTGTTGCTTGGAGTGTTAGTTCATAATTTGGAAGAACAGATAAGAACAGATATATGACTGGTTTGGATCAGTACTTTCCAAATTCATTTTGAGCATTGTAAGTTGATTATAGGGTTGAATTGTGTTAACAGATGGATTACTTGCTTCTGAATCTGGTCATTTTCTCCTATGGGTCTCTTCTTGGAGGGGCTAAATCTGCCTTCCACTACCTGGAAAAGACTGCAGAGAGAAGAATCCCAGAAAGATAGATAGAGTTGCAGATGAGTTGGTAACCAAGCAGTTGATGGTTGGGGGAGAAGAAGAGACGTTAAAGTTCCTGTAACTAAGGCAATTCTCACTGCAGCTGGCTTTTAGCAGTTTACTGCAACAAAGTAAAGTGAACTTTTAAAGAGGTAATCAGAAAAAGCTATTTCCCCATCATTAGGCATATTTCACACACATAATAAACTGGTTTTTTGGACCACAACATAACTACATTCCATGGTACAATTAGAAATTCTTTGATGTATTTTCCACCCACTTGGGCTGCCGTGAGATCCCTTTGAAACACAAGACGAACCACAAAAAGACAGACTATTACAAATGAGAAACAAAAAGTACATTATTATGGAATGGATTACGTGTCCCACCTTTTGCTTTGGGTCTTATAAATACCAGCACACAATCTTGGATGCACACTAATGTCATAACACAACCAACATTAAACAGCTTTTAGTAGTGCTGAAAGATAAAAATCCCTGTGGAGCCCCCTCCCCTTTGTCTAGGTCACAGAGCAGCCCCGCCCACCTCTGATCTGCAGGCACACCTCAAAATAAAGATACAAAACAAGCCACTTAAACTTTCTCTCACCACATTTGACACTTGGGCTGCAATTGATTAAATGCGCCTCTTCGGCACCAAACATAAAACAGAATGCCCTCCAGATAAGGGAAATAGCTGCACCCTGATGTTAGACCCATCACAAAAATCCAAATCTAGGCAAAGATCAACACAGGGCAAGAAATGATTTTCCTCCCCGGATTTCACACACCTCCAGGTAGGAATTCCTTTATTTATTCATGTTTCTCATCAAAGTCTATTACTTCACGTTTAAAGTCCATCGTTACTATAAGTACTAGCAGTCTCATGTATTAATTTGATAGCCTATCTTCAACTGCTATTCTCTATGTTAAGCCATTGAATAAATCTTCCTTTTCAAGCAGTTGCCTTGCATGTTTAGTAGTGACCCCGCTTGAATTCTAACCCAGAATCTTTTCTTCTAACAATTGGCAACCACTAAGATTCTTGATCAGCAAGAGAGTAACTTGGCCGA